AATTAAAGTGCATCTCTTAAATTCTTCATTCATATAAAAATAACAGTCAAAACTCTGCCACTCACCTTTTTCTTAAACTCAAAATTCAAAAATAAAATTCAAGTAAGAGTGTACAAGAGAAAAACAATGCATTGTGTAGCAAATAAAAAGGTCAACCAGTCATCCTTTCTTTTAGAGTTACTGAAAGAATACAGTAGAAGTCATCTCAGAGGACTTAAAACAACGGAACCATCAACATCTCACCTCAAATTGCATTAAAAGTGACATTCGTGTCTGAATTCGTTCGTATTTTAACTTTTAAAGAAATTCACGGTCCGCCATCTTGGTTTGCTTCGGCTGCCGTGAGACGCGCATGCGCAGGTTTGCATTACATGATAAACAGCTGAGGCTGTGCATCTCTTCAAGACAGTGTATCTCAGCGTTACACCGGCTTGCACTTCTCTAACACGGCACTCGCATTGCTACCGCTCGCCGCCGTCTTTGTTTTGTGTGTGACGCACCAACGCGCATATTATACGTCGGTGTATTTTTTACGTCGACGCGTTGTCCCAGCCCTAATCCCAATGAAAATAATGTTATTGCATTCCCCCTCTGGAGGAAACCCTGGTAAGTATTGTTAATGTATCTGAAGAAGATGACATGTCTGGGATCGCGTCTTTCATTCCGACAGAAGACATGTTTTATTGTCGATGGTAGAGACAGCACGAACAACACACACACAGAATGCAAGTGTATTATACAGGGCGGAGGCATGGAGACCTCCAATCAGCAGCTGCCACAGTGCCATGTAGCTTGGCCTTCAGATAGACAAAACAAGGGAAAAGTACAGGCTTCTGCACATTGATAGAATGATGAGTTTAACTTGAACAAAAGTTGCTTCAAAGTGTTATGAAATCTCACATTCCCCCCTCTGGTCACACATTCACGTGTGACCATCAGGATCGATAAACAGCAACATAACATCATAACTCAATACTTCAAAAACTCATAAACTTGGTACTTCACTCGGTACTTCAAAAAACTCAGAACTCGGAATACTTCAAAAACTCAGAAAACTCATAAAACATGTTCAGATCTTTCATAAAACTTGTCAACAATCTTCAGTAAAATACCAAACTTCATCAGTCGATGGTGGTTCCAGATATTGCTTTGAAAACAGTCTCTCCCACTTCTTTGTTTTGATTCTTCAGGCTGCATTTGTGCCGAGCCATGATTCTTCTGTGACGTGTCTTTCAATCACACGTTTCAGCTTCAGTGTCCAGATTCAGCAATTCAATTCAGTCCAAATTATGTCCAAATTCAGATATCCAATTGTTCCAAATTATGTCCAAATTGTGTAATCCAATTGTTCCAAATTATGTCCATGCAAAAGAGGACGCTGGTGTTGTCCATGTCTCAGCAGCTCACAGCAGGCCTGACTGGAATCAGGGGCTGTGCAGATTGTCCATGGGCTGATCCAGATGCATTCTCTTGAGGTTTCTCAGTTTTGGCTTAAAAAAAAACAACACATTTTTGTGTAAAAAAAATAAGTCTTCTGTTCACTAGATGTTACAGACAAGGCCCGCATCCTCCACCACCTGAAGAAGATGACATGTCTCGGATCGCGTCTTTAATTCCGACAGAAGACATGTTTTATTGTCGATGGTAGAGACAGCACGAACAACACGGACAACAGAATGCAAGTGTATTATACAGAGCGGAGGCATGGAGACCTCCAATCAGCAGCTGCCACAGTGCCATGTAGCTTGGCCTTCAGATAGACAAAACAAGGGAAAAGTACTGGCTTCTGCACATTGATAGAATTATGAGTTTAACTTGAACAAAAGTTGCTTCAAAGTGTTATGAAATCTCACATATCCATGGAAATTGAATTTGGTATATCTACACATGTTTTGTGTAGGTAATGGATATGTATGTGATTGGCTGAAAAATCACACATGGCCAGCCCACGTGGGATTACTCCCCATTGGTAGCTTACTCCCCATTGGATGAAATCACTACTTTCAAATAAGTATAATCTCTCGTGATTGGCTGGCAGATCTGTCACTATTGGTCACCCTGCCTCATAATTAATGTAATAATATTTATATAAATATATATTTATTCATATTATGCTGCATATATTGTATCCTATGTAGGCTACTACACTATTATTAGGCCATCAATGACATGAATTAATTTATAGAGGAAATGAACTGAACTAACTGTTTTATGGCATTAAAACGGCTGTTTTAATGCCATACACACACACATATATATATATATGGTGCTACTTTGAACCGAGAATATAACACATATTTTCAGTTGGTTCATACTTTTTCTTTTAGGTATGTACATAATTCCAGATGAGTTAATTCAGTGTACAGCATTGAGCAAAGTTGAGCATTGTGCACCCCCTCAACCCTGATGCATTTGTATAGCTCACAGCATTGCCATTTACATGTTAAAGCCTCCTGTGGAGGAGGGAGGAGGGGACAACAAACTACCGTCAACAGCCGAATCCCAGAAGTTTCACAGTAATAAACAGGGCCAAAAAGAGACAAAAATCACACTTTTCATGCAGTGATTGCAGTGATGGGCAAGCTACTTGATTTGTGTAGTGAGCTAAGCTACAAGCTACTCTACAATAAATTCAGCTTCACTACACAGAAGCTACCACCCATACAAATGTAGCAAGCTAAGTTACAAAATTCTGTCAAAAGTAGCTTGCTATATAGAAGCTATTTTCAATTAAACAAACTGCAGTTCATGCAATTTTATATTTTCCTGCATTAACATGTTTTCTCATTTCTTATTTTTTGCACAATTCTTGAGTGTTTTATCCATGCCAAATGTGACATGTAAATGTCTCCTGTGTGAGATTAATAAAGCTTATCTTCTTATTTGAGTCAGTCAGATAAAGGTTAATTTTTTTTAGATATTTATTGAACAATAGCCCAAAACACCAAAAACAACAAAGAGTAGGCATCTGAAAACAGTCCTTGCTTTTGCTTCCCCCAGTAGCGCGCGCGCATGTGTGTGCGTGTGTGTGTGCGCGTACGCTCGTGTGTGTGTGTCGTTACCAAGCCCTGCGCATGCGCATCAGCATTCTGTCTATCTATATGTTTGTTTTATGCTGCGGGAAAATGCTGTAATATATGAACATCAGAGATGTCCGTGAGAAAATAGCTTTGGCGGACGCTAAAATAAAAGCAATGTAATTATACATAGTTTATGCAAAATAAATAAGCAATTGATGTCCAAAATAGGAGTGGGAAGAATGGATGTTGGAACGTATTTCTTCAGCGTATCAACATCAGGGTTTGCTCAAGAGGATATCACCTTTCAATTTTATTTATTCCCTATTTTTTAGACAAACATGTAAAAGTCCCACATCAAAAAGAGACTAACATTATTTTAATTGGGGTACATGTGGTCTTAAATGATTATTTTTACAATTAAGCTATAATCTGCAAAAAAACGTCTTGACCTTCATCTTTTACCGTTTTTAGAGCAATCTGTCATAGAATGTGATAGCATGCAATAAATACAAAAAGACATAGCCCGGGATCGAACCCGGGTTCCTACATTGTAAGCGCACAGCTTAGACCTCTAGGCCACCGATTCACACGACTGAGACACTGTGAAGAACGGAGTCAAACTAGAAAATTCTGCATCACACGTGAACTTTTATCAGCTGTCTCAATTGTTCAAAGGCATCCCGATATAAATCCTCGTTTTAATCTTTGTTTTGTCATTAATGATTTGAGAGTCATAACCAGACCTTTTTTAGTTCTGCGCCACATGTGTGCGTCACTAGGCAAAACAGGTTTGCACGCAGTCTTTTATACCTGAGCGTTTAAGTCGCTGGCAGAGCTAAAGCGGACTTAACCTGCCACCTAGTGGCGATAGGATGTAATATGTTTCACGCAGCTGCGTGATTCATGAAAAGCGTGAATGAAGACGACAAAACGAAATGGGACCTACTGTAGATCATCGCATGAGATTTTGGGACATAAACGTGGGTCGTGCAGGCAAAATACACGATGCGCGGGTATTTGCCCTGTCTTCTTTATATCAAAGAGGGGTTAATGGCATTTTATTCCCGGACTGGACGGAAACATTTGAAGGCGTAGATGTGCCTCTGGTTCTGCTGGGGGACTCTGCATATCCTCTCCTCCCATGGCTCATGAAACCTCATCCAGAGGGAGCAGGGGTTACAGCTGACCAGATCAACTTCAACTTCAAACTGAGTCAGTCTCGCATGACAGTTGAGCGTGCGTTTGGGCGCCTTAAAGGACGATGGCGTTGCCTGTTGAAGACATGTGATGCCCATATTACATTTGTGAGTCGAATTGTTTCAGCATGTTGTGTTTTGCACAACTTTGTGGAAATGCATAATGAGAATTATTTGAATGGAGACACTGAAGCTGATGACGATGTTGAAGCTGTTCCAGAGGGGAGAGGTGGTGATTATCAACAACAATCAGAGATCCGCAATGCCCTGTGTAGATATTTTTCAACTTTGTAAATACGTGTTTTTGTTAGTATGTCTATTAGCATGAATGTTCTCATGTTAACCTTAAAAAGACATCAGTTTTGCTGAGTCAGTTCAATTTTTGTTGCAGATGATTCAAAATTATTACGTTGACTTTTGTGATTGTTTGGTCAATGACTTTTTGTAATATTTCGACTTATGTGCATTTTCTGAATTACAGCACATTTAAATGTTTAAAGACAATATTTTTTGTAAGTTTTATTTACTTGACTGTCAATGTCAACAATTCAAACAAATGTGCATTAACACACAATAAAGTGCTGCATAGAAAAAAGTTGTTCATAACATTTCATTACATCTTGAACTTAAAGAAAACTTTTCACACATACTTTGTGTTTAGATATAACTTAACATTTCCTCAGTTTGCAAACATGAAACACAGGTAAACATCCTGATAAGAAAAACATTAAAACCTTATGCATGTTACAACACACAGATATAGCAACAAATTGTAACATACATCTTAAAGGTTATAATAGTCTTGACTGGTGTGGTGTGGTGGAGCTCCAGAAGGTGGCAGCTGATGAGAGCTGTGTGGAACATGATAAGGGGGGCTCTGATGGGACGGACCACCAGACCAGGATGATGAAGGAGGAACCTGTGTGTTCACCATATTGATGAGTTGCGAAAAACAATTTGCCATCAGCTGATTTGAGGCTTGCATCTGGGTCATCAAGGCACTAAATCTCCTTTCATCTGCTTCCTGTTGCGCTTTGAGCATCTTCTGTAGAGCCTGATCCTGTTCTAACTGCCTGGTCTCTGCCTCCCTCATTTCCTCCAAAACCTTGTGGCTTTCTGCTATATATTTGGCGAAGTCGTCATCCCGTCCCCTGGCCTTTGCTTTTCTTTTCCTTGATTTGGTCCCAGGTATCTCAAGCCTCCCGCTGGCTCGACTGGGTTCACTCTTCTGAGCACATGAGACGTCACTGTCCAGGGTAGTATCTGCCTCCTCGTCTGTAATGCAGCAGCACAATATCTATTGTTAATCTTTTAACATCGTAACTGTGTTCATAGAGAAGGTTTCTTACCATGTAGTGACACAGATAGTCCGGGGACATCTGCTTCGGTCTCGGTGTCATCTGTTGGGGGCTCCATCGTCTCCTCATTTGACTCCACAATGTCAATAGGCTCCACATCAGGCTTTGTCCCAAGGATTTTATCCAGTGCCTCATACCACTCAAACTTATCTTTAATTTTTGAAGTGCCTCCAGATTGTTTCAGAGCATCTCGTATTTTTATGTATTGCTGTCTTAGCTTTTTGGTTTTAATGCGGCACTGTTCAACTGACCGTTGGAAACCGCGTTCATTAATCTATTTTGAGAAAATTGCGAAAATGTCCGCATTTTTGTGGGTGCTCGATAGTTGGGAAATAATGTGCTCATCTGACCATATTTCTATGAGGCACTGTACCTCCTCTTTCGACCATGTTTGTCCCCGATTCATTTCCAGCGTCTTCAAAACAATGTTTACGGAAAAAGTTTGTGTTACCCAGAACACCGCGCGGCTTGCTACGGAAGCTTCGGTAGACCAAAAAGGGAGCTACGCACCAGAGAAGGGCAAAATCGAGGCCGGTCAGCGTTCTCACCAGCAGCGGACAAGACCGAAACCGCACCGAGACCAACTCCATAAGTTGGTCTCAGTGCGGTTCTTTAGTCCGGACTAATTTTAACTGGTCCACTTTCACACCTGCTCAAACCAACCGTACTTGCAGGTGGTCCGGACTCCAGTCCGTTATAAGTGGACTAAATGGTGCAGGTGTGAAAGCACCCTGAAACGCCAAAGCACGCTCCTTCTCAGTTTCAGTTTCACTTCCGCGTTAATCCCAGGGTTTTGACTAAAATGGTCTTTAATGACCTTCTGTGGGACACAGCAGTCAATACAGAACCGTATGTATCCAGTCACCGCGTCACAGAATTCGTTAACATCCTCTGAGTGAAAAACCGACCAGCCAGTGGCATCAAAACACCCCTGTAGCTTCATGCTAGCCTGCATAGTGCGAGAAGTTGGTTTTTGTTCCCTGCTCCTTTGAGTGTACGAAGGAAGGAGAACAGAGGAGTGGTCGGACTTGCCAAATGGAGGTCTAAGTCTGGACCTGTAAGCTCTCTTCACGTTGCTATAGCAGTGATCCAGAATTTGTGCTCCTCTTGTAGCTCGAGTCACATGTTAGTGAAAGTTCGGGAGTACAGTCTTTAAATTACATTTGTTGAAATCACCAGCAACAATGATGACTTCACACCAGGTCAGAAATCTAGGGGTAATACTGGAGTCAGACTTAAATGTTACTAGCCACATCAAATCAGTAACATCAGCAGCTTTTTACCACCTAAAAACATTTCCAGAATCAAAAACAGTGTCTAAAGCAGACTTGGAGATTCTTGTCCATGCATTTGTCTCCAGTAGGTTAGACTACTGCAATGGCCTGCTAACAGGTCTCATAACCGGGTTACAGCACATTTAAAATGCATACTTCCTAGTTCTAGTCCTGACTAGAACCTCTTCCCGCCTGGAGCTCCCCTCTCCCCGCCTGAAGCTCCCCTCTCCCTGCCTGGAGCTGCCTCGCTCTCGCTCTGAGCCAGACTTATCGTCAGCTTGTTCTCATATTAAAGAAATTAAGTTTACTTCACAGCATGTGTACATTGATTTTGTTACTCACTTATTAAGAACGTTACTACTCATACAAATAATATTACTGATAACAATAATGACAGTAAAACAGCAGCAGCTGCAGCTATGACTTCTCTCTATGACAGAGACAGACCCGCTGATGCTGGTGCTGCTCCTCGTCTCCTGATTGGTTGAAGCCCGGCGTCAAAGCTCCAAAAGCTCAGCTTTGCTCAACTTCGGCAAGGGATTTTTTGACAACAAAAGAGACGCGAGCGTTACGCGCGTCAAAAGCTTCAAGTGACACGCGCATTACTCGCGTCTTCTGAAGCTTTTGACGCGTTTCACCATTCACTTTCAATGCAAACCTGACGCTTTTGAAGTCGAAGTCAAGTCCGGTGTGAAAGCCCCTTAAGGAGCACAGGGACTGGCCTTCTGCTGGTGCCCAGAGTCAGAACTAGACATGGGGAGGCTGCTTTTCAGATTCATGCTGCTAAAATCTGGAACAATCTTCCTGAAAATGTTAGACAGGCCTCCTCTTTGACAATGTTTAAAACCAGGTTAAAAACAGTTCTGTTTAGCTGTGCATACAACTGAGAGATTTTATATTTTTATCTTTCTTTTAATGTACTGTGATTATTTATAATTGTAATGCTATTTTGTCAATCAATCAAAGTTTATTTGTCGAGCGCCATTCATACACATGTGCAACACAAAGCGCTTCACAGTCCACATCACAAATCATCACATAAAACAAACACCAGAATCACAATTAGAACATTAAACACACAAAAAAATTAAAACCATAAAAACTTAAAACTTAAAATAAATAACTCAATAATAAATGAGCTAAAATCCTTCAGTTGAATGCATAGGCAAACAGAAGAGTCTTTAACCTTGATTTAAACATTGTCAAAGTAGACGCCTCTCTCACATTTTCAGGGAGACTCTTCCAGATTTTAGCAGCATAAACCTGAAATGCAGCCTCCCCATGTTTGGTTCTCACTCCGGACACCAGCAAGAGGCCAGTCCCTGAGCTCCTAAGAGTCCGGCTCGGTTCATACGGGACGAACATGTCACCAATGTATTTTGGTGCGAGGCCATGGTGAGACTTGTACACAAGCAGAGCTGTTTTAAAATCTATTCTCTGAGCCACAGGAAGCCAGTGCAGAGACTTGAGGACTGGACTAATGTGGTCATACTTCCTGGTTCTAGTCAGGACTCGAACTGCAGCATTTTGAATGTACTGCAGCTGTTGTACAGCCTGTTTGGACAGACCTGTGAGCAGGCCATTGCAGTAGTCTAGCCTACTGGAGACAAATGCATGAAGAAAGAATCTCCAGGTCAGCTTTGGACATTATATTTCTAACTTTGGCAATGTTCTTTAGATGGAAAAAACTGTTGATGTTATTGATTTTATATGGCTATTGAAATTTAGGTCTGAGTCCAGTATTACCCCTAAATTTCTAACCTTCTCTGAGGGTTTTAGTGAGAGAGACTGAAGCTGACAAATGACTCCCTCTCTTTGTTTCTGGGGACCAAAGACAATGATTTCAGTCTTGTCTGCATTTAGCTGGAGGAAGTTATTTTGTATCCACTCACTGATCTGTTGGATGCAGTGGAGGAGCAAATCCAGTGGTCCATATTCTCCTACAGTCAGTGAAATTTAGATTTGCGTGTCGTCGGCGTAATTGTGGTAGGACACTTTGTTTCTTTTTATTAACTGACCTAGTGGGAGCATGTAGAGATTTAAAAGGAGAGGTCCCAGGATCGACCACTGTGGTATTCCACAGTTCAGGGCCATATGATCTGAGACACAGTCTCCAATCTCCACAAAGCACTCAGATCCAACATGACTAAAACTGTGACTTTACCTGCATCAGTGTGAAGTCGAACGTCGTTTGTTACAGTAGGTCCCATTTCGTTTTGTCGCCTTTCACGCGTGAATAGCACGAGGCTCACGCGCGAATCACGTGTCTTTTCTTTTTTTTCCCCCCAGTGACGCTGCAATGACCAAAACAACCACCAGGTGGCACTTGTGAGCAGGGTTACATTGGCGTCTCATCGCTCTTTCTTCTCTCTTCACCGGACAACTATCTGTGGCTTTAAGCCTAGTGTACTGTACATCGGACTGGCAACTGATTATATCCGTCGCCTATGAGTTTCTGCCCCGCGCACATCGACAATCTGGTTAAAACGGGCAACTCCTTGTAGCAAGCCAGTCTCTGGAATAACCCGCAGACATTAAAACTACTGAATATAACGTAAACTTTTGCATCACGTTGGTGATCTTTCCAAAAAGAGAGAATATCGTTATGGAAAGAGAAACTATTGGTAATATAACGCTGAACGTTATCTGACTCAAACAGCTCCGCTGGTGTCTCCTCCCACTCAGAAAAAAAGCAGACACCTTTTCTCTGGCATCTCTAACATTTATAATAAATACATAAATATAACAATCATAATGAAGATTCTTTCAAATAATTTAGCAAGCTGTAAATCATTTATTTTAACTCCACACGGCTCCTCCCCTGCCAAACTTCTCTCGCTGCTCTCTCCTCCGCAAACCACTAAATGAGGAAAAGGGAATATTCACTCAATCTATTTTGAATGTTACACATACAATATTAATATAGTCTAAGCACGTGTAACACCTGTAGCCCGTGTATTTACCACAGACTGTAAGTATTAAAGTAATGAGGCCCCTGCTTTAGGCCTCTGCTGTGAGGCCCACACCGTCATCAGTCTCGGTGCCTCTGTGTAGATCACACGTCTGTCCTCGGGCTGGAGTGTTCTGAGGCTTTAAGGAAGGAGCGATCCTGTTTGTCAGCATGATTTTTTTGTTTAACACTAGAACGCCCAGCCAAATTTGGGGCTAGTTTAAGAGAAGAGGAGCTAACCCGCTACTTGGGTTGCTAACATTTGCATGTCAAATGAGGTGATGACCGAAACAACAGGGGGCTAGGGTGGGCTTTGTTTATTTGTCTGGGGGAGGAAGGGCTGCGAATGAGTAGAGATTGGTCTGTGAGATAATGCAGAAAAGAAATGCCATGGCAGTCCAGGTTCCAGACTGTGAACCCTGAGAATTAATATACTGTATATATTTTGTAATAACATTTTTCTCAGTGGCTTTGGTGCATTTAAAGTTCTCAAAATTATTAGTCCATTTTTCTTATTTTGTAGCATTTAAAATCAATAAATCTCACTAACCAAAAAAAACCTGTGTGTTGACCTCTCCCTAAGATGGCAACGTAAAGTGGTGTGTATTTCACATATGTACTGCATATGCAATAATACAGTAACTTATGTCTCTTTATATAGAACAGTATGTTTCATTCTGACTGAAGCACATGATAATGTTATAAAACAGTATGTTTCATTCTGACTGAAGCACATGATAATGTTATAAAACAGTATGTTTCATTCTGACTGAAGCACATGATAATGTTATAAAACAGTATGTTTCATTCTGACTGAAGCACATGATAATGTTA